CATGATTGGCTGATCAAAATTTGATGCAAATTATCTCATTGGATTCGTTTAGTTTCTAGGATTCAAATTGTAGTTATCTCATGAAAAACAGAGCGGTATTTACTGAGATCATATTCTTTATTTAGATTTTTTATATAATAATTGTGTAATATGATTAAGTCAATTTTGACCATTTTGTGATATTGATTAATTTGGTTTTATGTTTAATTAATACTAATAGATATACTTATTTTCTTTGAAATTTTTAACAAAATTTTAAAATCTTACATAATTTATTATAAATTTAATTAATACAAAATTTTACATATGGGGCCTTTGCAATAGAAATCCGGAAAAATAAAAAATGATATAATCATACTAACAATATTTATAATATTTTTACATATAAATGATTATAATAATAAATCCCTTATTATATGGATTTAAAAATTGTGGTTTATAGGTGAACGTGACTCGTGACTAGAAAGGGGACTGTTATGAGCCAATAGAAAATTGAATCACGTTCAGTCAATTTTTTTGATCGAACTTTTTAATTTGATCTTAATTATCATGTCGATGAAAATAACAGGGGAAAATGAAAAAAATACAAAAAAAAGAAATAAGAATACAACAAATTTTACCTCTAAAGGTTCACCAATAACAAAGCAGTCTCATGAAGAAAATAACAGTGAACAGAATTTTCTTACAAACTTAAAAATTGACATGCTTTCGGATGAAGAAAATGAGGAAGAGATTGATTTTTTCAAACTACGCTCGGGAAATGAAGATTCTATACATGATATTGTAAATAGTGGCGAAGAAAATGATAATTTCAATAATGGAACATCAGGAGAGAGTGATAATGATGAGTATATCGCGGGAGACAGCCTAGACGATGATGATTTAAATTCGAGAGATCATGTTGAAAATTTTTTTAATGATATTTCATCAGAATCAGAGTATGTTTATTTAATCGTATTATTCGATTTTAACAAATTTAATGTTTTTAGCGAAAGTTAATAATCTGAATTAATATTAGGAAGACTCAGGAACAATATGTCATAGGTGCAGATGGTCATCCACGCAAAATATTACCCGAAATCGATCCAGTGTATGATAGCGATTCTTCGACCGAAAATGTATGTCAAAAAATTTTTTTTTTTTTGTAAATTTTATAATTTCAAATTAAATATTATTCAACTAAATAGTTATCATTAATCAGCCAACTAATACCATTGGCAATATACCAATGGAATGGTATGATGATTATCCTCATATTGGCTATAATATCGATGGAAAAAAGATTTTGAAACCTGCTAAAGGCGATGAACTGGATAAGTTTTTGGAGAATATGGAAGATCCTGATTCATGGTAAGAACCTTTTTTACTTTTACTAGAGGTTTTTTTATATTTTATCAAAAAAATTTTTTAAATTCTTTTTTTCACTTTATAGGATTTCTGTCAAAGATAACCTCACACAACAAAATGTGAAATTAACTGATGAAGAATTAGAAATTATCCATCGAATACAAATGGGTTCATACCCTAAACAAGATTATGATCCTTATGAGCCGACGGTTGAATGGTTCACTAGTAAAACCGAAGTCATGCCATTAAATGCCACACCTGAACCTAAACGTCGGTTTATCCCTTCAAAATGGGAAGCAAAACGTGTAAGATTAATTTTTATTATGAACTTTTTAGCATGAATATCTCACCAAGTTTTTCACATCCAACCTATAAAGATTATGAAGCTAGTACGCGCCATTCGCCAAGGACACATTGTTCCTGGAAAAACCCAAGTACAGAAACCACGGTTTTATAATTTATGGAATGATACCGACCAACCGTATGAAGACCATCCTATGCGTATAGCCGCTCCAAAAATGAAGCTACCTGATCATGATGAAAGTTATCATCCACCTGCAGAATATTTGCTAACCGATAAAGAAAAGGAAAAATGGGAAGAGATGGATCCTGAAGACAGAGAAAAGAATTATATACCTCAAAAGTAATCATTATTATTACAATGCTTCATAACGAATTATTTTTGACAAACTAATTTTATAACCTATATATTTAGGTATTCGTGTCTGAGGGCTGTACCTGCTTATAATCGATTCATTCAGGAGCGATTTGATAGGTGCCTTGATTTATATCTTGCCCCACGCGTTCGAAGGAATAAAGTAAGCTAATTTAATAAATATCGTTTATTGAATCTATCTCTATAATGGCCTTATTAAAAATGTTATTAATAACTTTCATTAGCTTAATATTGATCCAGAATCACTTATTCCTAAACTTCCAAATCCTAAAGACCTTCAGCCTTTTCCTACATCTCTTACACTTTCATATGATGCACACACTAGTCGTGTGCGTTGCATTTCAATCGATCCTACAGGACTTTGGTTAATTTCAGGTTCAGATGATAAAACTATAAAATTATGGGAAATTATAACCGGTCGCTGTATTAAAACGTGGGAAATGGATGATATCGTTCATTCAGTTACCTGGTGTCCAATTAAGGAAGTTTGTGCATTTGCATTTTCTTGGTAAGTTTTTGAATATCTCAAATTGCCTATTATAAATTTATTTTCATCACATATCCAATTGATATTAATTTTGATTTAGTTCAAATAAAGTTGGCATTATATCGCCAACTTGTATTTGTGAAGAAGAAATTGCAATTTCAACTACTAGATACGTTACAGCAGGATTTGATAACTCTCAAAAGAATGGTAAATTTCATAAAATATCTCGATGTCAATTCGCGAATTATCCATACTTCCCTATTTAATTAACATAAATCTGGTGTAGAACAAAAATCCAAGTTGGTTGACTGGTTAAAGCCAACTAATCAACAGAATGTGAATGGAATTCTTGTCATTATTCAACACGTTCATGATAAAGTATTAATAATTATTCTAGTGAAATTCTTTTTTGTATTCTCATTAACTATAAATTAATGTTAATTTTATTGTTCATTCAGACAATTAAACAAATTGCTTGGCATAAGAAAGGAGATTACTTTTCGACTACTGCGCCGGATGGTAAATGTTAATGCAAATCAATTTCTTTCCCTTCGAAAAAAATAATATTAAATCCATACGTTTCTTTTAAAGCTGGTAATCAAGGCATTCTAATTCACCATCTTACCAAGCATCAAACTCAACAGCCCTTCCGTAAGACTAGAGGAATCATTCAGTCCGCTATGTTTCATCCTATTAAACCCTTGTTCTTTGTTTCGGTAAATATATATGCATTTTTTTCAAAACCTTATACGATGAATAAACAATTTGTAATTTCTTTTTTTTTTCCTTCATAGACACAAAGATATGTTAGAATTTATAATTTAATGAAACAGGAATTGACAAAAACTTTGCAATCAGGCGTTAAATGGATTTCTAGTCTCGACATTCATCCAATGGGTAAGAGTTTACGAATTAAACTGATGAAATATCAGATATTCTATAGAATTTAATATATATTCATTTGCTATTTATAGGTGATAATATCATAATTGGCAGCTACGATAAGAAATTATGTTGGTTTGATTTGGATCTGTCTTCGAAACCCTACAAAACTTTGCGGTATTTGTTTGTATTCTTGGTAAACTTGTTATTTAATTCAAACCACTAATTTCCTTCCCTAAAAAAAAATATTGTAGTTATCATACAAAAGCAATTCGTAACGTGACCTACCATAAAAGGTTACCATTATTTGCGTCGTGTAGCGATGACGGATTAATACAAATATTTCATGGTATGGTGTATAATGATTTGCTTCAAAATCCATTAATTGTTCCAGTGAAAATCTTAAAAGATGGTCATCAAGTCGTGGATAGCTTAGGTAACTTTTTTTTTAAGACAAAAACTTATTGCACCTTGATTTCGAATTATTTATTGAATTTATATTTCTATTTAGGCGTTTTGGACTGCGAATTTCATCCAACACAGCCATGGATAATATCTTCAGGTGCAGATCATACAATAAAATTATGGACATGATTTATTAATTTATCAGACCATTTGAAGAAAAATCGAATTAAATTATTCCTTACAATTAATTAAAAAAAAATAAAATAAAAATAAAAATAAAGTATAAAAACAAAAATTAATTGATAATTTTCATTAGAAAAATTTTATTCATTTCATTTTGAAAAACATGCAATGTTTTGTGAATCTAAATTTTAATGAATGGTTTAAATTTATTACAGCTTACTAAATGTAAATATAATATTAGTTAAATTATTATACATTTTATAATTAACCCTATAAAAAATTTGGATACTTAAAAGATACGGAAAAGATACGGATATACTGAATTTACACTGAAAAGATACGTCTTGATACTAAAAGATACTAAAAAATTGCACAATTCAGTATCTCTATATGTTTTAACTTTGAAACGCCATACACTTATCCAAATCATGCGATTTTGGTATGTCTTTCAAATGAGTTCAGAATCGTTTGATTTAGATGATTGAAAGATGAAATAGTCGTCTCAAGTTAAAAACTTATAAAGATACCGAGTAGATTTTTAGTACTAAACGTAAATATATTGCTGAATTGTGCAATTTTCAGTATCAAGATGTATCTTTTCAGTGTAAATCAGTATGTCATATCATTCAGTATCTTTTCAGTATCCAATTTTTTATAGGGTAGCAGTACAGATATTAATAATGACAAAAATAATAATAATCAATAGAAATCAGTAAATATCAATATATAAAATTTAAGTTTAAATAATAAATTTGAAGATTATGATGAAAAGTCTTATCATTGATAGAATGATATATAACTTTTCTTTTATTTCTTTTATATATCCTATATACTATTTATAATAAGAGTCTTTGTAATTATACAATCTCAGTTATCTTATTAATGAGCGTTGCTTTATTCTATAATATCTATAATATTTATTGAATTATTTATTGAACTATTAAAAATTTGTATAAAAAAATGACATAGGTAATGTATAACTTTGTTGTTTAGAAGTAATTGAAATTAATTTACTTTCTATTATCCTTTGTTGGTCATATCCGAATATAAAGCAGAGATAGCTTCAATGGTACCAACTATAGCACCAAAAATAGCAAACATTAAAACAAAAATTACCCAAGATTTTTCTTTCCAACCATTAAGAGAATTCCAACCGAATAATTTAATCCAAATCAAAATCGGCATAACAATTAATAATACACCATTACCAAGTGCACCAAGTAAAGCCATGACGTTTGCAAAATAAGGTATAGCAATAGCTATATAAATAGTAAAAGATACCGTAATGATTCTTATTATAGATCTATAAATAAATTCACGAGTTTTACCTAGGGTTGTAATATTAATTGATAGATAATCTTCAATTTCAAGTGCAAAAGCTGTTTGATAAATTGGTAATGCTAACAATATATGTATTGAGATCATGATAATAGTGGTTGATAATGCTAATCCTGGTGGAAGACTTTTATAAATAGGTGATAACGTTGTAACTCCATATGTTAAATATGCCGAAACACCAATTAAAAGATAAAAAATTGTTATTGTTGCAGTAGCGAGACTAAATACTTTTGGCCACTCTTTTGGATGTTCCATACTAAATTAACATGAGATTAATATTAAAAGTTGAATAATATGAAGAATACATGATTGAAAATTAAGTAGATTTGTTTACCTTGCTTCAATGTGAGGATATACGATATTTCCACCATAACTAAAAAATACGGTTGCCAACGCTATTGGCATATTCTTAAGATTAATTAATTGATGTTCATTATCTCGATTATTTGGTAAATCCGCAAGCGAAGTAAAAAGTACCACAAATACGACCATCCCCGTTGTTAAAGCTCCCAAAACACTTCAAATATACAAAGAATGTTGATTGATTTTTGTTTTTGTTTAATAAAATGAAGTCTACATCAAAAAATATGGATGTGAACATTACCTTAACCATGAAGTTTCTTTCATGGATTTAAGTAACACAAAAGGAATGCACATGATACTCCCACAGATAACAACCCAGGTTTCCATTCCCAAATCTATACCTAAATTATCCTTAAATAATATCTGAAAATTTTCTCCCGATAATATCAAATAAAGTATTGGACATCCTATACTTAATGAATTAAAGAAGAAAGCAACAAAACCTAATCCGATTTTCCCAAATGCATCATTCGCTACTTGAGACATAGAGATACGACGGGTTTCATTATTCTTATATAAACATTCAATTAATTTGATGTTTGCATATATATTCATTGTTGCTGAAAGAATTAATAATAAAATGGTTATCCATCCTCCTTGTTGTATAGCATATGGAATTCCAAGAGTTCCTGATCCTGCAACAACACATCTTTAATCAAAATAATAAAAAAATTTTACTACTTTTTTATATTTGATTTGCTTATTTTTTTCGATAATGCACTTACACGATATTAATATAAGCAGACCAATTTGATCCTTTATGATCTTTATGATCTCGTAAAACATAATCACGATCTTCTACCTCAACACTATCACTAACTATTATTTAAAAAGAAATGATTGATTAGTGATTTATTCGATTCAATCACAATAACTTTAAATATACCTAATGGAGTAGATCCATAGTTTTTCCATGGATCTTGTCGATTATTTAAAGGTTGAGATTTCATAGTAATGAATAATATAAAAAATTCTAATTTCTTTACGAGGGATAAGATTATTTTGTTGTTTGATTTTATAAAGAAAAAATTATAATTATAAAAAAAAATTTAAAATGTTTCATACACCAAACATCTTTATATAAACAAAAATTAATTTAGACACTTAATTACAGATAGAATATCATTTAGATTGCATTATCTTTACTCGATTAAGTTATAATATTGACGATTGCTTACATTATGTTTCGCACGTGAAATAATAACGAATCAAAGATGAAATGATGCGACTTTGGTGTGTTATTACATAATTCGTTACTTGTTTTGAATTTTTTAAAATGTTTAGTGGCGTATGAAAAACTTGACATCTGATAATTAGAATTTATTTTAGTAATATAGATTGATAATTTTTGTTTCGTTTTGGGTCTATAATCAAGTATATTTAATACAAAAGATGTAAAATCAGATGTTTTTAATTAAGATTGTCAAAGTTCATAAGAAAAAATTAAAGTAAGACTTGAGATTAGCGTAAAAGCTTTACTGTAGATGTTTTATGGTACATATTTAGATTTGTAACCCTAATTAGTCCGGAATGAAGTGAAGGACTATAAACTAACAGGTTATCAAGATACGTGATTGGTCTCTTTCGTTACACTTGTTTCCGGACTTAACAACGGTTTCCTAAACTGTTTCCTAGTAAGGGTAGACATAATTTAAGGTAAATTGGATATTTTCCGTTTTTATTTAAATCGATAATTGTTAGGTGTGACATGCATCGGTAACACAGTTTGAAATTATTTCATATAAAGATCTCTAAAATTTTCATTTAATATTTAAAAATGTCATTACGATCGACAAAGAGAGTAATTTCTCTCCTTCCTTCTGCAGCTGAAATAATTACATTAATCGCTGGCAATGATTCGGGTATTCAACTTGTAGGAAGAAGTCATGAGGATGATTATCCAGCCTCGATCACTAAGTTGCCGATTCTTACTGCACCAAAGTAATTTATGTACAATTTGAGTGAATCAAAGTTACTTCCAATTTGAGAGAGTTAAAAAAAAAACCCCCTTGGGACTTTTTTTAATCATAGAACCAGATTTACAACATCTGCTGAGGTAGATGCACAAGTTACTCAATTCCTTGCGCAGGGAGATAGTCTTTATACCTTGGATGCTAAAAAATTGAAAAGTTTAAATCCGGATATAGTAGTTACTCAGGTATGATTTCCTGGAAATATTGTTAACAAAGTTAATTATAATATTACTTTTAGGATTATCGTAATTTTAGCCCCTTTTTTATGTAGGATCTGTGTAATGTATGCTCTGTCGATTTAAATATGGTACAACAAATCGTGAAAGAAATGAATCCAGCTCCAACTATTGTGACTTTGAATCCTATGTCGCTCGATGTAAAATCTATCTTTGATTGTTTATTTATTAATTTAATTGACTTTTATATTGATCGGATTATTGGATTTCCAGGATGTCATCAAATCAATCGATGACGTTGGTTCGGCACTCGATATGGTTGATGAATCTACTTTAGTTCGGTCAAAGTTATTGTCGCGTATAAAACATGCCCGAGAAGTTGCATTTCAAAGTCATAAGGCTGGTAAAAAACGCGCTCGTGTAACGTTCTTTGAATGGACTTCTCCGATCTATTTAGGAGGTCATTGGACACCGCAAATGATTCGTTGGAGTAATGCAAGTATTTTTAAATTTTCTCTCCCTTATTTATTGATTTATTTATTTTAATGTCTAACTTTGAATTTTAAAGGGAGTGCAAATATTGAATGATTGTAAGGATGGTGAAATTGCTGAAATGGGAGCTCCGCCATCGTATGTTAATCAAGCAATATTATTATTTAGAATGAACGTGGCTAATCTTTATATTCTCACAAAGGTTTCGCGTTCCACCACAAGATATTATTGATACTGAACCGGAAATTCTTATTGTTTGTCCTTGTGGATTAAACCTTGATGAAACTAGAAAAGAATATGAAGAAACATTATTACCTTCAGAATGGTGGCCAAAAATTGCCGAAAACGCCACTAAAATAGCTCTAGTTGATGGAAATCAGGTTAATTTAATTCTGTTTAAATGTTTTAAATGATTTATTTGTAACAAGGATTCATATCACGTATATATTTCTCAAATTAGATGTTTAATCGTCCAGGGCCTCGTAAGTTCGATTAATCGCTATTTTGTAAATTTATATGGGGTTCATTATCCAATTCGTAAATTTTTTTTTAAAATTTTTTTAAAAGGACTTGTGGATGCATTAGAATGGCTCGTAGGGTATATAAATGATATACCAGAACTAATTCCCAAAGATTTTCCATGGCAGAATCTGAAATGATAAAATCTTTTTTTTACTAAATATGTATATCGTTAATAAATTGACCAATATGATATGTAAATATATATATATATATAAAAAAAAAAAAATAATAAATAATTTTAGTAATTTTTATTTAAATACATTTTCTTGATTAAGAATTTTTTTTTTAAGCAAACAATTCGAAATAAAAATGTGATATAAATGATTTTGTTAGAGTGATCTAAGTTAAAAATGACAAATTCCTCTGTCAAAAGTTTTATTTGGAATCTAAAATGTTCTTGAAAATATTCCATAATTTAATTTATTTTCTTTCCCTTGAAATTATTTTGGTGGGGCGTATCTAGAGTTAAAATAAAATAAAATAAAATTATTTAAAAAAAAAAGAACAATAGTTATTTATCAAAATGATGGATGAGATTAATACGTACACAATTTTTCTTGATTTAAGAACTGTAAATCTGTTTCGTTTAATCCAAATTGACAAAATAGTCATAGCGGATAGGATAATTATAGCCTTTACACCCATTTTTTTACGTTCATCATGTTCGGGTTCTGCGGCCCAAGCAAGGAACGTTGTAACGTCCTTGGCCATTTGAGATGTCGTCGCAGGAGTACCTATCGAAATTTATATTAAATCATTAATGAGGGTTATTATTCGTGTGGTTAACAATCTTTAGAACTCACCATCATCATAGTCAACTATGCCATCATATAAAAGTCTAGCCATAGCGATAGAACCACCAGGAAAATAAGGATTATAATTTAAACCTTCACGAATTTCAACACCAGCAGGAGGATCGACGTATCCGGTCAAAAGAGCAAAGATATAATCCTGAGGAAAAAAAAAATAGAAATAGAAATAGAAATAGAAATAGACATCATCATTATTGATTCACTTATTAAAGAATAAATTATAAACCACGTATTACGTATACATACACAACCACCATGACGGGCTTTAACCATCAAAGAAAGATCTGGTGGAAGAGCTCCACCATTACCTGCGCGAGCAGCTTCATCATTAGGATAGGGACGCGGCATATAATCAGACAGCTTTCCGGGCCTTTCGAAGTATTCCCCAATTTCATTTGGTCCATCCTTATATTCGAATTCTTCGGCCATCGTTCTCGCTTCATCTTCCGTATGTGACACGTCCACTAAATTACGCCACGCGATACGATCGAGTGAATGACATGCGGAACAAACTTCCCTATACACTTGATAACCACGTCGAATGCTTATTTATGTAAACAAAGAACGGCACAAGATAAAATAAAATAAAAAATGAATTTCAATTTAATTAATTGAATTTTCAATATTTCAACGCATTAACATTTTATCTTGGGGTCATTCCCTAATCTGTCAAAAATGGTTCATTCTAATATCGAGATCTTTCCATTCTAGGGAGTAATCTCACCTGGCATGATCAAAGGTACCAAATAGACTGCGATGAGACCAAGGATATGCGGGTGGATGAAGACCTTCTTCTTCCATATTGGCATGAATAGGATTGGCATAAAAATAAACACCCAAACCTACTGCTGCAGTTGATGCTACAGCCGCTGTGGCAGCAATGGCTTTTTTTGTATTCTAATCGAATAATTATACATAAATATATATATATAATATAATTATAAATAATTTTTAAAATCATTTTATTGAATGAGCAACCCATCTCATATGAACCGATAAAATTTTATTCATTTTGATGAATTCTTTTTTATATTAATTCAATATTTTGCTGTTTAAACAACAGTTACATGAAACGGAACAAGCAACATTTGGTACATAAAAACTACCTAAGTCCAATAAATGAAATTGGGTACTATAGAAATACGAACCGACTGAGGAGCACCGGCAGTACCTGAAACACCTCGGGCCTATATAAATATAAATATGTCCCAGCTATTAAATTTTATTTTATTTTATTTTTTTAAAAAAAATATAGTGTGTATGCTTATAGAACCAAGAGAAATTACTTACCTGCATAAAAGCATTAACCCATTGTTTCATAGGTTTTTTCACAACCTGACCCGAAAGCCTCGCAAACATGACTTTATAAAAAAAATCCTATATTATGTATAATAAAAAAAAAAATAATAATCGGAGCAATGCGAGGTGAATAAAAGCCACCTTGATTGAACTGATATAAAAAAATTTTTTCGTTAGTGTAACATGTAACATCTAAATACGATTCATGCAATTTAAAAACCATACACAAAAATGTCAGAGCTTGCTGAAGGAAAGCCTTTAGCAAGTAAAACCTCTGAAGCAGATAAACAGGATAGAAGACGCTTTCAAATTGAATTGGAATTCATTCAATGTTTAGCAAATCCGTGGTACCTTAACGGTTTGTATTCGGTTATTATTTATTACTTTAAACTATTTTTTTATTTCTAGTTTAATAATGAATTTAATTTTTTATAATTATTTTAGATTTAGCCCAGAAAGAATGTTTTGAAGATCCAACATTTCTCAATTATTTAGAATATTTAAAATATTGGAAGAGGCCTGAATATGCCAAATGCATAATGTAAAGAAGCAACAAATTTTTTAAAAATCTTGTAAATATTAAACTAATTTATATTTTCACAAATATAGCTACCCACACGCTCTTCATTTTCTTGACCTTCTCCAAAATCATAAATTTCGTGAGTATCTAAAGGATTATGATGTAGCGTCAGAAATTCATTCAAACCAATATTATCACTGGTTGAAATGGAGACACTTTGATGAAGGAAATGAAGGAAATGTTGGTGAAGGATCACGTCCAAATGAATTAAGGGATAACGTTGAAAATGTAAATGGAATACCTTTAAATGAAAATCCGAGAGGTGGAATGTTGAATGGGCAAGGAACTAGATAATTACTTATTTCAGGATAAAATAGATAATAATGCAAGAAAAAAAATTAATCATTTGTTATTTCCTTATTTAATTTATTCAAGAATTAAAATTGTTGGTATAGAAACATTTATTAAATAAATCTGTGGCAAAAACTTTCCGCAAAAAAATAAAAAGATCTTTAATTTTAATATTTTTCATATGATGTTTCTTCTTTTTCTCCTTCTACTCCTCCATCATAACCAATATTTCAATTTTATTATTTTGCTTTAAAATAAGTAATATAATTAAATTATAAAATTAGAAAATTTGCATAATTCCTGATCTAGCTGATTTTTAATATATCTCTAATCTTGCAGACTAGCCTGATAAATCTGATACATCTGATTTTTAATATATTTAATATATCATTATATTTTTATATCTATTATTACTATTATATTTATTATTTTTCTTATATTTATATATTTATTTTATTTGCTATAATATATTGATATAAAAATTAAGACTGTATTAGTTTTAAAAATATTAATAGCTCTAATGTTAATAATATAATAAATGAATTAATAACCTTTCTTTATTTTTTATTTAGGATTTAATATAATATATCCTATATTATGCTAGACATTTTAATTCATTAATCATAATTTTCTTATTATTTTCACTAGTCGAACGATGACAAATAGAGGACCAATCGGGTCAAATCTGGGTTGCCAGATTTGACCTGATTGGTCCCCTATTTTTTTGTTTTTTTTAGAATCAGATGATCCCGATTGATGACGATTAATGGCGCAGATAGGATACAATAAGGTTCCAATCGGGTGTTATAAAAATATCAATAGGGTTATTCTTATTGATATCAATTTATTAACATCCAGTTTCCAATCGGGTTATCCCTAAGTCATCAAT